GGGTGCGCTGTTGTTTATTTTCAATCGGGAGGGAGATACAAGCTCCCGATTGCTCTGAACTCCAGTACCGGGCGACACTCTGGGGACCCAGACTCATACAGGGAGAAACTGGACTGTCTGGCAATGGGCTAGAACATGAGGGCGGCTTTCTCTCAGAGGTGCTCGCAGCGATCATTGTTCCTGCGCCGGGGCACAGATTGTGAGGACATGGGGACCTCTCTAATGCAGGGCTGACTGGCAGCCATTGCTGTTTGCTCCGCCCTGGTGATTCCCAGGGACCCAGCCCCTCCCAATTTACAACCCCATCCAAGCTGTGCGCGGCGGCTTTTGCATATGAATGGCCCGTCCTTTCGCAGCATAAAACCTAACAAACTGCAGCTGGTCAGAGAGCTCCAAAACTTCCAAAAGAAGACCCAAGACTGAGCAGCAGCAACTGGCATTGCTTCCTCTTAAATTTTTTGGAATAGTCTGAGAAGGATTGGTTTTAGTTCTTCTTTGAATGTTTGGTAAAACTCCCCTGTGAAGCCATCCGGTCCAAGGCTTTTGTTTGCTAGAAGCTTTTTGATTACTGTTTTAATTTCATCAGTAGTTATCGGCCTATTCAGGTTTTTTTATTCTTCCTGATTGAGTTTTGGAAGAACAAAGTAGGAGGGACCTCAATACCAGATATCAAGCTGTATTACAAAGCCACTGTTCTCAAAACTGCCTGGTACTGGCAAAAGAACAAACATATAGACCAATGGAATAGAATAGAGAACCCAGAAATCGATCCAAACCACTATACTCAATTAATATTTGACAAAAGAGGCAAGATCATACAATGGAGTCAAGACAGTCTCTTCAAAAATTGGACAGATACATTCAAAAAAATGAAACTAGACCACCAACTTACAGCATACACAAAAATAAACTCAAAATGGATAAAGGACTTAAACGTAAAACGGAAAACCATAAAGATATTAGAGGAATCCACAGGCAGCAAAATCTCAGACATATGCCAAAGCAATATCTTCACCAATACCACTCCTAGGGCAATGGAAACTAATGAGAAAATAAACAAATGGAACTACATCAAAATAAAAAGCTTCTGCACAGCAAAAGAAACCATCAACAAAACAACAGAAAGCCCACTGAATGGGAGAACATATTTGCCAATGCTATCTCCGATAAGGGTTTAATCTCCAACATTTACAGGGAACTCATACAATTTAACAAAAGGAAGGTAAACGACCCAATTGAAAAATGGACAACGGTCCTAAATTGATACTTTTCGAAAGAAGACAGAAGGAAGGCCAAGAGACATATGAAAACATGCTCAAAGTCACTAATCATCCGAGAGATGCAAATCAAAACAACAATGAGGTACCATCTCACACCTGTCAGAATGGCTATCATCAACAAATCAGCAAATGACAAGTACTGGCGAGGATTCGAAGAAAAAGGAACCCTCATGCATGGCTGGTGGGAATGCAGACTGGTGCAGCCACTGCGGAGAACAGTATGGAGTTTCCTTAAAAAACTAAAAATGGAACTGCCATTTGACCCAGTAATACCACTTCTAGGAATATATCCAAAGAAACCAGAAACACCAATCAGAAAGGATATATGCATCCCTATGTTCATAGCAGCACCATTTACTATAGCTAAGATTTGAAAACAGCCTAAGTGCCCATCAGCAGATGAGTGGATTAAAAAACTGTGGTACATCTACACAATGGAATATTACACTACTATAAAAAAGGAAGGAACTCCTACCATTTATAACAGCATGGATGGAGCTGGAGAGCATTATGCTAAGTGAAATAAGCCAGTCAGAGAAAGACAAGTACCACATGATCTCACTCATATGTGGAATCTAAGGAATAAAATCAATGGAGAAACAAAATAGATCCATAGACATAGAAGCATGGAACAGACTGTGGAATCTCAGAGGGAAGGCGGGGGAGGGAGGGTGGGTTGGAAGAGATCAACTAAAGACCTTGTATGCATATATGCATAACCCATGGACACAGACAATAGGGGGGTGAAGGCCTGGGGTGGGGGTTGGGGGTGGATGTGGGCTAGAAGAGGTCAATTGGGGGGGGAGGAGGGGACATGTGTAATACTTTGAACAATAAAGATTAAAAAAAAATAAAATACAAAAAAATTTCAAAAAAACATTTTGTAACTTAATTTTTACAATATCCTGTTATACATAATTATTAATAACGAACTACAACATTCGCTAATGACTGATTACTATAATTGTGTTGCATTCATTTCCCTTACGTGTCTTATGGGCAGGTACACCATTTCTCTCCACTAATACTAGCAGTGAATATTTTAGCAGCCGGTTGCCACATCATTAGTCTTGGACTGACTTGTTTGGTGTGCGCAATAGGAAATATTTCACTTTTGGAGAACAAGAAAAATAGGTTTATTTGCATTACGCTTATTAATTTGTGCAGTTATTCAGTGTCTGGTAAGTTAATGTTCAAGAAAAAATATTAATTTTTATTAAAATATTATTTTTTTAAATAAAAATACAATAAAAATAAAAAACACCAATTAAAAGACAACAAATAAATAGCATGAAATGAAAAAAATACATTTTCAAAGTAACCCCACAGAAGGAGTTCCAGGTGCCATGAAAATGACCCAGGCGATGGCCTGTTCACTGGTGAATGGTTCTCATCACTGTCTTGAGCAGCCCTGATTTGCTGGCCACTTTTCCTGTCCCTAGGTTCAGCATCCTTCAGGCCCAACCCCCTCAGTGCTCAGCCAGACAATGTTTAAGCCCAACACCAATTGCACTTTTCCCCTGCTCAAGATCATTGTAGTTACTATTGGACTTGTGGGCATTCAGATTGTTCACGTTTATCTCTGGGAAAGTGGGAAAAGGAGATGTCTGCCTTTTAGTATACAAATACCTTCTGTTTGAATTTTGTATTATGAGGGGGAATTAATTTTGTAAAATGGCTTTGGGTTTTAGTCCTTCTTAGAAAAACCATTCCCACTCTAAGATCATTATTTTTTTATATTCTCCTGTTTTTCATTTAGTACCTTTACAGTTTTATTTTAATATTTAAATCTTTACTCTATGTGGAGTTTATTTAAGTGAGAAATGAGATAAGGGTCCAATTTTCTATTTTTTTCCAGGTGGTTATCCATTTATCCCAATATATAGCACTGAAGAAATGATTTTCTTCCACAGAAATAAAATCTACTTTTATCATACACTAAATACTCTGCTTTTGTGTATTTGTGGACTCTTTATTCTGTTCATTCATCTATTTAGGCACCACCTCACATTTTAATTAATATAGCATTGTAATGTATTTTTAATGTGTAGACTGGTTAATCCTCCCTCATTACTTGTTTTCAACCCTGGCAATGTCAAATTTTTAGAAAAATGTGTGCTGTAGAATCAGCTTTTTATTTCTTTTAAGAAAATCTTGTTAGGACTTTTACTGTGATACCATTAATTTTACAGGTTAATTCAAGAAAAATTGGCATCCTTCTGATAAGTGCAAGTGTCTTCTGGATCCCTCAACAGCTGTGGAAAGTTTTTTCCTGATGGATCTTGTATGTTTCTTTTTAAGTTTCTTATTACGTATTTAATTAAGGATCCAGATTAAATTATATTTTCCTCTGCTTCCTATGACTTCATTTAAGCTTCAATATTAAGTATTTATTCAAACAAACAGAAAACCATAGTGGTGTTAAATAGTATCTGGACACTCTAATTAGATCTTTCTCTTTAAATTTTGGACTATCTTTAGATTAGATACACATGGAAAACTCGTAAAATAGATAATCACCTTTATCTTTTAAATTTTTATTTATTGAACTTTAGAGAGAGAGGGGGAAAGAGAAGAGAAGAGAAGAGAAGAGAAGAGAAGAGAAGAGAAGAGAAGAGAAGAGAAGAGAAGAGAAGGGTTTGTTGTTCCAGTTATTCATGGGTTGATCCTTGTATGTGCCCTGATGGGGATCAAACCCACAACATGGGCATATATTAGGACGACACTGTAACCAACTGAGTTACCCAGCCAGGGCTGATAATCACCTTTCTTCAATGATACTGTCTTCAAGAAGCAATTCATATCCATACATTGCACTTAAAGTATATATAATAATAAACACATTATTTAAATTATATACCAGGTACTTATAACTTAAAGTGTTCAATTTCCTCTGGAATACAGTTAGCTGGCTGATATTAACTAACAAGACCCATGTCATATATAAAAAAATTGAGACCGATCACTGTGGCTTAGTTCATCAACCTATGAACCAGGAGATCACAGTTCCATTCTTGGTCAGGGCACATGCTGGGGTTCAATCCACAGTAGGGCGCATGTAGGAGGCAACCGATCAATAATTCTCTCTTGCCCTGACCGGTTTGGCTCAGTGGATAGAGCATCAGCCTGCGAACTCAAGGGTCCCAGGTTCAATTCCGGCCAAGGGCATGTACCTGGGTTGCGGGCACATCCCCAGTGGGGAGTGTGCAGGAGGCAGCTGATCGATGTTTCTCTCTCATCGATGTTTCTAACTCTCTATCCCTCTCCCTTCCTCTCTGTAAAAAATCAATAAAATATATTTTTTTAAAAATTCTCTCTTATTATTAACTAGAGGCCGATGCACAAATCTGTGCACGGTTGGGGTCCGGCCAGCCCGCCACGATCGGGACCAATTGGGCCGGGCCGGCCAGGGGGAGGAGACATGGGAGGTTGGCCCGCCGGCCCTGTCCCTGATGGAGGGGGGAGGCGATCGGGGGCGGGGCCAGTCAGAGGGAGGGGCAACAGGTGGTTGGTGGGCTGGCCCCACCTCCTGGTCAAACTTCCAGTTTAGGGGCAATTTGCATATTAGGCTTTTATTATATAGGATGTTTCTACTTCTCTCTCCCTCTCTAAAATCAATAAAAATATATTTTAAAAAATTTTGCTTGTAAAAAAAAAATGTAAGACACTTCACATTTGTGAGGCTGAAAAGCTTGGCAAGTGAAGATGGTGGACTCTTACCGGGACAGGATTCCCACAAAGCTTCTCACAGGAGAGCCATGCAACAAGGGCTTCACGTTGCCAAGCTGGCTCAAAAACTCTGTGGTTTCATTCACTCTGCCAACTCTAAATATCTGCAGGATGTCCACTGGGCTTTTACTGTAAGAATTAGAAGAAAAACAAAGTGAAAAATCATTATCAGCAGAAACCACAAAACAGCCCCAATGTCGGATGCAATGAATCATAACACATTTTATTTTCAAAATATTATGCAGCCATTCCAGCCATTAAAAAAAAATCACACTCAAAAATAAATAAAGCTATGAAGTAAAACTTATAGTAAAATATAAATTTTAATAGGTTATAAAACTATATGCATAGTATGATCCAAAATATTATCATATATACGCTCATTCATTCACTCATGCATTCAATGATTAGACTCTGTGCCAAGTATTCTGCCAGGCACTGGAAATAAGATAACATGGTCTCTAGGACTTCATGGAGATTACATTCTAATGAAAGATAAAAATCAACAAGTTAACAAATGCCTGATTTTAAGTGCTACTAAAGAAATAACCAGGCCCTGGCCGGTTGTTCACTGGTTAGAGTGTTCGGTCTGAGGACGGAATAGGTGAGGGTTCAATTGCCAATCAAGGGCACCAACCTTGGTTGCATGTTCATCTCCGCCCCAGTTGAGGCAAGTGTGAGAGGCAATCAATCGATGTGTCTCTCTCACATTGATATTTTTCTCTCTCTCCCCACTCCTACTCTCTCTAAAAAAAAAAATCAATGGAATAAATATCTCCAGATGAGGATTAAAAAACAACAAACCAACCAGGTTCAGAGAGAGGTGGTCAAGAAAGGCCTCTCTTTGGAGGTGACATGTATTGGAAAATGGTGTAGTACAGCGGTTCTCAACCTGTGGGTCGCGACCCCTTTGGGGGTCGAATGACCCTTTCACAGGGGTCGCCTAAGACCATCGGAAAACACATATATAATTACATATTGTTTACAGTAGCAAAATTACAGTTATGAAGTAGCAACGAAAATAATTTTATGGTTGGGGGTCACCACAACATGAGGAACTGTATTAAAGGGTCGCGGCATTAGGAAGGTTGAGAACCACTGGTGTACTACATATTTTAAAGATCTAACTGCTCATTATAGGAAAACATTGGATAGAGCAGGAGTGGCAAGAACATCAGGAAGGGTGGTTGGTATAAACGAGATAACAGTGTTCTGCACTAAAGATGGCAGCATTGTAAAAGAAAACCAGTGAATTTTAACCAGATATTTGGAGGCAGAACAGACAGAACATGTGATGTGGGGATGAGGCAGAGAGAATCATCAGTGGCTCAGGGTGGGTGGCTAAAATGGGGAAACAAGGGGAAAGTCTGGGGGTACTACTGAGGGAAAGAGTTGTAGGTACCAAGGGGTTATGAAAGCTTATTGAGCACGTCGTCCCAGCTCCACACTCAGTGGTGTCGGGTCAGTAGCTTGATATGAGCTATGGTAGGAGTATTTACACCACAGAAATCAGCAAATATTATAAATCAGGACTTTTATTCAGAGAGCTGGCCTACTACTGGGTGAAGAGAAGAATCAATAATTCAATTTGGAATATGTTCTACAGCACCAAAGTATTTACAGTGGTTATATAATCTCTGGGTTATCTCTGGGTGGGAAGATTTGGAGTGATCTTTCATTCTCTTCATGTTTCTTGTTGTTAATCCTCATCCGGTGACATTTTTTCATTGATTTTTAGAGAGTGAAAGGGAGGGAAGGGGGGGAGAGAGAGAGAGAGAGAAAGAGAGAGAGAGAGAGAGAGAGAGAGAGAGAGAGAGAGAGAGATCAGTTTGAGAGAGTCACATCAATTGGTTATCTCCAGCACATGCCCTGACTGGGGTGGGGATAACCTGCAACCCAGGTAGGTGCCCTTGACTGGGAATGGAACCCGCGACCCTTTGGTGTGCAGGCAACACTCTATCACTGAGCCACACCAGCCAGAGCTCTTCATATTTTTATATAGTCTCTAAATTTTCAACAAAGAATATAAATTTTAGAACAAAAATTTATTTAAAAAATCATTAGTGAAATGAAATGGAGAAAATCTAATTTTTCCCAGCAGCAAAATCTCTCCCTAGGAAGAGGCCCACCTTTGTTGTATAAATACTTGGGGGCAGGAGGTGAGATCTCTAAGGGCTTGCTTGACTCACATTAGATGGTTGAACTACACCCCCCTCCTCAGCTCTTAAGAACGTAGCTCTCCCTTCCCTTTGACTCCATGTTTGGCTTCTTTCATTCAACAAAATGTTTTCAAGGTGCGTCTGTGTTGCAGCATGTGCAAGTGCTTCGTTCCTTTTCACGCCTGAATAATATTCCATTATATGTATATACCACAATTTTGGAAATTTCCGTTGTTTCAACCTTTGGGCTTTTGAATAGTGCTGCTATGAACATTCATGCACAGTCTCTGTTTGAGTACTTGTTTTCAGTTCTTTTGGGTCTATAAGGAGGAGTGAACTTACTGAGGCAAACGATCATTCTGTGTTTAATTTATTGAGGAATCACCAAATTGCAGCTGCACCACTTTACATTCCACAAGCAATGTGTGAGGGCTCCTATTTCTCCACATCCTCACCAACACGTATAATTTTCCACTTTTAAAAATATAACCATCTTAGTGGGTGGGAAGTGGTATTGGGAATGGAATTTGAAGATGATCACCCAAGGAAGACAGAACATATTTTGAGATAGGTCTGAATCCATCCACAGGGAGGCATGGCTGGGTCTGGTTCTAGTGGAGTGCTAGAAAACCAACTCCTAACAACAGCAAAACTTACACGAGATCTAATTTGTAGCATTTATGATTCATGTGCTGCTATGAACATACACATATTTTTTTGTATTTTAAAATCTTAATTTAGGTGCATTTTCTTATGTAACACCCTTCAAACACAAACTTAAATACCCTTTTGATTTAAATTTTTAAAATTTAATTCTCATCAAGATTGGGTAACTTTGAAATCCGAGCAGAATAGTAGGGAGTGTTTTCAAGCATAGCATACTGCCTATTATAAACACATACAAAAGTAATTGGTCATCACAACAGTTATCTTATTACTGAGAATTAATGTATCTAGGTAATTGTGGCAATCGGCTTTGTATCCATATCTGAAAAAGCATTACAGAAGAACAGATCCACACCCGTTTCCTTATGCTTACCTGCAATTATTTTGCAATACCTCTTCTCTAACTCTTAAAAATTCCTCCGAGTTCTGTTCCACATGTTCAATCTTGCATCTCAAAGCTCGGTATTTGGCAAGAAATGGCGGGTTGGGTTTGGACAGATTAGTTTCACAGACATTAACCATGTCTCTTATTAGCTGTGGATAAAAAATGATACACAGATGTTAGAATTACCACATATGCAAATATTTATATCACATTACTCTTTCTCAAAAAGATTGGAAAATAACCTTTATTCTCCAAGGCTTTTTGTTTGTTAATCCTCACCTGAGGATATTTTTTTCCATTTATTTATTTATTTATTTATTTATTTATTATTTTTTAGAGAGAGTGGAAGGAAAGGAGAGGAGAGAGAGTATGAGGGAGAGAGAGAGAGAGAGAAACATCAATGTGAGAGAGACACATCAATTGGTTGCCTCCCACCTCCCACATGTGCCCTGACTGGGGCAGGGATGAACATGCAACCAAGGTATGTGCCCTCTATTGGGAATTGAACCTGAGACCCTTTAGTGTGTGGGCCAATGCTCTTACCACTGAGCCACAGCAGCCAGGACTATTATCCAAAGCTATTTATTTATTTATTTTTGTTAATCCTCACCTGAGACCCGAGGATATTTTTCCATTGATTTTCAGAGAGTGGAAGGGAGGGGGAGAGACAGAGAGAAACATCTATGTGAGAGAGACATATTGATCTGTTGCCTTCTGCACATGCCCCAACTAGGGCTGGGATCAAGCTTGCAACAGAGGTAATGTGCCATTGACCAGAACTGAACCCAAGACCCTTTAGTCTGCGGGCCGATGCTCTATCTATTGAGCCAAACCGGTTAGAACCAAAGCTCTTGATTAAAATCTGCCTGTACAATAGGTGGCATATATATTTTTTTAGGGATTTTTTTTCTTTATTGATTAAGGTATTACATATGTGTTCTTATTCCCCCATTGCCTCCCCACCCCAGTCCCATTCATGCCCTCACCCCCACCCCCTGGTGTCTGTGTCCATTGATTATGCTTATATGCATGCATACAAGTCCTTTGGTTGATCTCTCTCCTTTACCCCCACCCTCCCCTACCTTCCCTCTGAGGTTTGAGCATCTGATCAATGCTTCTCTGTCTCTGGATCTGTTTTTGTTCATCAGTTTATGTTGTTCATTATAATCCCCAAATGAGTGAGATCATGTGATATTTATCTTTCTCTGAATGGCTTATTTCACTTAGCATAATGCTCTCCAGTTCCATCCATGCTGTTGCAAATGGTAGGAGTTCCTTCCTTTTTATAGCAGTGTAGTATTCCATTGTGTAAATGTACCACAGTTTTTTAATCCACTCATCTGCTGATGGGCACTTAGGCTGATTCCAAATCTTAGCTATGGTAAATTGTGCTGCTATAAACATAGGGGTGCATATATCCTTTCTGATTGGTGTTTCTAGTTTCTTGGGATATATTCCTGGAAGTAGAATCACTGGGTCAAATGGGAGTTCCATTTTTAGTTTTTTTGAGGAAACTCCATACTGTTCTCCACAGTGGCTGCACCAGTCTGCATTCCCACCAGCAGTGCACGAGGGTTCCTTTTTCTCTGCATCCTCTCCAGCACCTGTCATTTGTTGATTTGTTGATGATAGCCAGTCTGACAGGTGTGAGATGGTAGCTCATTGTTGTTTTGATTTGCATCTCTCGGATGAGTAGTGACTTTGAGCCTGTTTTCGTGTCTCTTGGCCTTCCTTCTGTCTTCTTTCAAAAAGTATCTATTTAGGTCTACTGCCCTTTTGATTGGGTTGTTTATTTTCCTTTCGTTAAGTTGTGTGAGTCCCCTGTAAATGTTGGAGATTAAACCCCTATTGGAGATAACATTGGCAAATATGTTCTCCCATGCAGTGGTCTTTCTTGTTGCTTTGTGGATGGTTTCTTTTGCTTTTTATTTTGATGTAGTTCCATTTGTTTATTTTCTCTTTAGTTTCCATTGCCCTAGGAGCTATATCAGTGAAGATATTGCTTTGGCATATGTCTGAGATTTTGCTGCCTGTGGATTCCTCTAATCTGTATATATAAAAGGCTAATTTGCAAAGTGTCCCCTCGAGAGTTCGACTGGGAGTTCCATCGCTTGCTATTATGTGCGCTGACCACCAGGGGGCAGTGTGGAATGAAGGAAGGCCCTGATCGCCAGCCAGGCTTAGAAACCCTATCCATGCACAAATTTCATGCACCGGGCCTCTAGTAGTTTTATTGTTTCCTGTCTTTCCGTTAAGTCCTTTATCCACTTTGAGTTTATTTTTGCGTATGGTGTAACCTTGAAGTGAACTGGAACAGCAGCCTCCCTACATCTGGACCCCTTGTTATACGGGATGATAAATGTCCTCATTTTTTCAAGTCAGTTGCAACTTTGTTTTTTTGCAGAAAGAATCCTAACTCATCTCCTTATGTGAAAAATTATTTTACAGGGTAGCAATTCTAAACATATTTGCAACTGTACTACTATTCCAATACATTACAGTTTGGAAATATGGTTCACAAAAACTCCCACAAGGACCCAATGCATTCTAAAATGGCTCAGCAATTTATTTTTGAGCAAACTCTATAGATAATTTCTATGATTCAGTGTTATCTTATTCATCAGATTTGAAAACACCTATCCCAATGTATTTTATTTTTATTTATTTATTATTTTTATTTTATTATTATTTTTTAAATCTTTATTGTTCAGTTCAGATTATTACAGATTATCCTCTTCCCCCCCCCAATAGCTCCCCTCCACCTGGTTCCCACTTCACCCCAGGTCCCTGCCCCCCCCCACTGTCCTTGTCCATAGGTGTAAGATCTTTGTCCAATCTCTTCCCGCACCCCCATTCCCCTTTCCCCCCCAAGAATTTGCAGTCTGCTCCCTTTTCATGCCCCTGATTTTATTACATTCACCAGTTTATTCTATTTATCAGATTTTTTTCTTCATTTGATTTTTAGATTCACTTGTTGATAGACATGTATTTGTTGTCACTTTGTTGTTCATAACTGTTTATCTTTACCTTTTTCTTCTTATTCCTATTCTTAAAGAATACCCTTCAGCATCCTATCTAATAAAGAGGGAATATGCAAATTGACTGTCATCATCACAAAGATGGAGGTGCCCATAGCCACAAGATGGCAGCGCCTAGTCCCCTCAGCCCTGCTGGAGTCCCACAGTCCTTTCAGCCCAACCGGGTGGGCGGCAGGCACACAGTGTGGCCAGACCTGCCCTTAGCCCCCTGGCCACCCAGGGCCAGCCTGAGACAAAGGAAAGCCTCGATGTCGGCTGCCCAGCTGCCTAGGGCCGGCCCAAGGCGCAGGCAAGTCGTGGATGTTGGCTGCCCAGCAACCCAGGGTGGGCCCAAGGTGCAGGCAAGCCTCAGATGGTGGCTACCCAGCTGCCCAGGGCCACCCGAGGCTCAGGTAACCAGGTCGGCTGAGGCTTGCGCTGCCGGCAATGGCAGCAGCAGAGGTGTGATGGGGGCATCGCCTTCTCCTGATTGCCGGGTTGCCTCCCGCCCCTGAGGGCTCGCGGACTGTGAGATGGGGCAGGCTGGGCTGAGGGACCCACCCTTCAGTGCATGAATTTTCATGCATTGGGCCTCTAGTTTCATATAATACTGGTTTGGTGGTGATGAACTCCTTTAGCTTTTTCTTGTCTGTGAAGCTCTTTATCTGACCTTCAATTATAAATGATAGCTTAGCTGGGTAGCGTAATCTTGGTTGTAGGTTCTTGCTATTCATCACCTTGAATATTTCTTGCCACTCCCTTCTGGCCTGCATAGTTTCTGTTGAGAAATCCTCTGACAGTCATATGGGTATTCCCTTGTAGGTAACTGTTTTTCTCTTGCTGCTTTTAAGATTTTCTCTTTGTCTATTGCCCTTGGCATTTTAATTATGATGTGTCTTGGTGTGGTCCTCTTTGGATTCCTCTTGTTTGGGGTTCTCTGTACTTCCTGGACTTGTAAGTCTATTTCTTTCACCAGGTAGGGGAAGTTTCCTGTCATTATTTCTTCAAATAGGTTTTCAATATTTGCTCTCTCTCTTCTTCTGGCACCCCTATAATTCAGATGTTGGTACGCTTGAAGTTGTCCCAGAGGCTCCTTACACTATCTTCATATTTTTGGATTATTTTTTCTTTTTGCTTTTCCGGTGGGTGTTTTTTGCTTCTTCATATTTCAAATCTTTGACTTGAATCTTGGGATCCACTAGTCTATTGTTGAATCTCTGTATATTATTCTTTATTTCAGTCAGTGTATACTTAATTTCTGACTGGTCATTTTCCATTTTTTTGGTATTCTCACTAAGATCCTTGAAGGTCTCACTAAGTTCCTCAGAGGTTTCTAGAAGATTCTTGAATAACCTTATAACTGTGGTTTTTGAATTCTATATCCAGTATTTTGTTTTCTTCCATTTCTTTCCTTTGTGACATCTTTCTTTGTCTCCGCATTTTGGATGCTTCCCTGTGTTTGTTTCTATGTATTGGGTAGCTGCTAAGTCTCCTTGAGTTGACAGAGTGGCCTTGTGCGGTAGGTGTCCTATAGGGCCCAGTGGCTCAACCTCCCCAATCACCTGAGGTGGACACTCTTATTGCACCCCTTTGTGGACTGGGTGCACAGTCTTGTTGTAGTTGAGCCTTGATTGCTGTTGGTATCACTGGGAGGAATTGACCTCCAGACCAATTGGCTGTGATGACCAGCTGTGTCTACAATGGAAGAGCTGCTGTGCAGGAGACACCTTATGGGGCAGGACTTGCTTCAGTGGGGCTTTGGTGCTCACTGAGTCTGCCCCTTGAGTGTGTCTCTTATGGATGTGAAGAGTTGTAATCTGGTATGGTCTCATACTGACCACTGGGTACACTGGCTCTTGGATCTCCAAGGAGGTGCAAAGTCATCCACTTCCTGGGACCACCCAGCAGGAGCTACAGAGAGAGCTGAAGATTCCTCCTCTTTGTATCAGGTTTGGAAGTGCCAGACGAGGCACAGCTATGAAGCAAGGCAGGCTGCTTCCTGTTTGACAGGTTTTAGGCTGAGAAAGGACAGGCCATTCATATGCAAAAGCTGCTGCACACAGCTTGGTTGGGGTTGTAAATTGGGTGGGGAGGGGTCTCAGGGAATCACCAGGGTAGAGCAAACAGAAATGGCTGCCAGTAAGCCCTGCACCAGGGAGGTCCCAATGCAGGAACAATGACCACTGTGAGCACCTCTGAGAGAAAGCTGCCCTTGCGTTCCTTTCCGATGCCAGACAGTTCACTTTCTTTCCGTATGTGTCTGGGTCCTCCAGAGTCTCACCCAGAACTGAAGTTCAGAGCAAGCAGGAGCTTGTATCTCCCTCCCGATAAAAAAGCAGTGTGCCTGGGTGCCAGCCCATTCTGGGCCTCCGCACCTCCTACCAGTCTCAATGCGCTTTCTTCTTTACTTCTCTAGTTGTAGAACTTCCACTCAGCCAGCTTTCCCTTGGTTCTGGATGATAGTTGTTCTGTCTTTTAGTTGTAATTTTGATGTGGTTGTGGGAGGCAGCAAGTACAGGTGTTTATTTATGCCGCCATCTTGGTTCTCTCTATTCATTTTTTTAATTCTCACCCGAGGACATGTTCAGAGACATTAAGGGAGAGAGAGAGAAAACACACATTGATGTGAGAGAGAAACATTGATCAGTTGCCTTCTCTATGTGCTCCAACCGGGGATTGACCTTGCAACCCAGGTGCGTGTCCTGACCCAGAATTGAACCGGCAACCCTTCAGTGCCCTCCAACCAACTGAGCCACTCCAGCTGGGCTCCCCCAATATATTTTAAATGGAATTCTATATTCCAGAGATTTACCTGGCAGAGGTCCTCTTTCTTGGCTAATAGTCTCAGGCTAACTTTTTCAGTAGCTATACCTCTGTGAGGTATTAATCTGTAGAAGTCACTCATCATCTTTTGCAATTGTTCTTCAGTCTCTCCACTTTTCAGTGCTGCCTTTACTAGGAGGAGAATTCCCTCTGCCTTGCTTACCTTTAAAAGGAAGATGACATATGCTTACTAAAATTAGATCTTGATAATCACAGAGAAAGTGAAGAAATGTATAAAAATAGCTAAAACAGTTGTTAGATATGTTGCAATGGTTAGTTTTCTGGGCATGGGTCATAAAACAAATGAAAAGTTTACTGGAGATGTATCTTGGTTACGATGATAATGCCATGAGGAGTTTTCCAAAACTGGGCTCAGCTTAACTAAAGGAAAGAACCAGAGTCTTCAATATCTAATATATATATATATATATATATATATATATATATATATATCCATCCACAGAGAGAAGAATACTCATGTAATAGTAGGAAACTTGCTTTTCACATAAGACATTTAGAAAGATGTCAGAATCAAACCAGGAGCGAAACCCACCAAAACATGTTTCAAATTACACAAGTACTTTTTGGAATTTATCCCAAGAGACCTTTTTATTGTTTTTATTTTTGCCCTGAAATAAATTCATTTAATTCCACATAGGAATTGTCTGTATTATTTAAATATGATAATGTAGTTGCACAAGTTGGACCACTGGGAACATTTTCTTTCATTTGCTTTTCAATAGCATATAATTAAGAAGAGCAAGTTCTAAAGGGCTAGGAACCTGCCTGCCTTTCCCTCGGATGGTCAGAGGCACAAGGTTCTGAAGTAGGTACTACAGAGGACATTAGGGTCTGAGTATCTAACGAAGGACCAAGAGCACCCACGTCTCTCAGGCCTGCTACAAGTCTCTTGACCCAGAGGAACAGGCTTCCTAATGAGCCAATCTTTGATCAGCTCTCATGTCTGACATTTTACATGCGGAAATGTCTGGTTTTCCTTTCTTTTTTTTTTTGTTTAAAATATATTTTATTGATTTTTTACAGAGAGGAAGGGAGAGGGATAGAGAGTTAGAAACATCCATGAGAGAGAAACATCCATCAGCTGCCTCCTGCACATCTCCCACTGGGTATGTGCCCGCAACCAAGGTACATGCCCTTGACTGGAATCGAACCTGTGACTCTTCAGTCCACAGGCCGACACTCTAGCCACTGAGCCAAACTGGTCAGGGCTCCTTTCTTTTTTAAATATATTTTTTATTGATTTCAGAGATGAAAGGAGAGGGGAAAACAGAAACATTAATGATGAGAGAGAATCATTGATTGGCTGCCTCCTGCATGCCCCCACTGGGGATAGGGCTTGTGTCCTGACTGGGAATCGAACCATGACCTCCTGGTTCATAGGTCGACGCTCAACCACTGAGTCACATCGGTGAGGCTGTCTGGTTTTCTTAAAAGTTCATCTCCCCTCAGTGTTCTCGTTGTCCCCTACTCCAGCATAAGAAAAAAGAAGAGGAATGCATCCAAAAACAACTGAACCAGTGCTCAAACAGAAGTGGTACCATTAAAGCAAAGAAACCAGGAAAGCAGGTTTGTCAGGTTAGAGGCTCTGTTTCAAGGGTATGCATGACTTACATCGTTAAGACTGATCCTGCTCATGGACTCCAGGAGCGTGTGCTCCAGGTGGCCGAGAGCCTCTGCCCAAATCATCTCCACTAAATCGCTCACCTCTTGGCTCAGAGTGCTTGAATGTATTACCTCCTCCAAAAGCAACTGCAACAAACAGCAAAACAATACCAACAGAAAGTTTTCATGGGTAGGTTTATTTTTAATGGAGATGATTAGAGTCATGAGAAGAAATAATTATAGCCAAGGAGAGCCACCCACACGCAAGTAACTGTTAATACTCAGGCCTCATTTTTCTGCTCAGCTCTCCCTCCACCTCCTCCCTATATCCTTTCTCTGTCCCCCTTCTCTCTTTTAGTCCCATATTATTTTTCCTTTTGCCTTTTTCCTCACCCTACCAACTATAGGCCTGCCAGTGGAATTAGAAGTTAAGTGGTATTAAGGGTTAAGGGCCCCTGACTCTTGGCCTAGGTCAGTGGTCGGCAAACCGCGGCTCGTGAGCCACATGCGGCTCTTTGGCCCCTTGAGTGTGGCTCTTCCACAAAATACCACGTGCGGGCGCACATGTACAGTGCAATTGAAACTTCGTGGCCCATGTTCCAAGCCTGTTGAAACATCGCCAAGAAAATAATTCTGATATTGACATTTGCTATTTCAAAATAACACTTTTAAATATGAGGGAAGCTTTTCTCAACAGGTTTCAGGAATTCAGAAACAGCAAAGCGATGTTAGCCTTTGTTAAAAAACCTCTCAGTGCTACTGTAACAGAATTAAATTTTTCTCCCTTTGATATTGACATTTGCAATTTTGAAATGCAATTGCTGGATTTAAAAAACAAAGAACTGTGGAGCTCGAAATGTGAATGTCTTTGTGCTGATATAGAAATATTGGAGAAAAACAAATGTGAACTTAGTTCACAGCACAAGTGGTCTGCTTTGAAAGACCTGGAGAAGGAAGATATGTTGATTTTTAACACCTGGAATAGTATTCCTGACTCATATAATCAACTGAAAAAAACTAGCGTTTGCTGTTCTTTCCTTATTTGGGTCTACAAATTTATGCGAACAATCATTTTCAAGCATGAACCTCATCAAGAGTAAATTGAGAAGTCGTCTTATTGATGAGAACCTGGAATCGTGCCTAAAATTAAAAACAACAACATACAAACCTGACTTACCCAAACTTTCCAAGGAGATGCTAGGCCATTGTTCACATTAGTGTTTGTCAGTCATTGTCATGATTTAATTTTATGGATATTGTAAGGTAACTTGTAAGGAATTTAATTTTATCAATAAATAATATCGTTATTAAGTATGATATCAAGTTTTATTCAACGTACCTATAGTTTAACTAAGACTTAAAACTTTAAGTAAAGTTTATTAAGTTAATTTTAGGGAACATTGTGGAGTGAAAGAAGATGTAGTGTTGAGGATTGAGAAAGGTATGTTGAGATGGTTTGGACATATAGAGAGGATGAACGAAAGGAGATAGACCAGTGACGGCGAACCTTTTGAGCTCGGTGTGTCAGCATTTTGAAAAACCCTAACTTCAACTCTGATGCCGTGTCACATATAGAAAGTTTTTGATATTTGAAACCATAGTAAAACAAAGATTTATATTTTTGATATTTATTTTACATATTTAAATGCCATTTAACAAAGAAAAATCAACCAAAAAAATGAGTCCGCATGTCACCTCTGACACGCGTGTCATAGGTTCGCCATCACTGAGATAGACGAAACAAGTATACAAGACGAGTGTGGATGGGAAAGTTGGAAGGGGTCGACCTCAGCGAACGTACCTCAATCAGACTGAGGACGTTTTTAGCAAAGGCCAGCTTAGGAGTACCCTAATTAAGTTAATAACAATGTACCTACCTATATAGTTTAAGTTTAAAAAAATTTGGCTCTCAAAAGAAATTTCAATCGTTGTACTGTTGATATTTGGCTCTGTTGACTAATGAGTTTGCCGACCACTGGCCTAGGTTATAATGAAATCTTTTGAAATCTGTGATGACTTATTGCTGAAATAAGCCATAAGTTCTGGGGCTTATCCTGGAACTCACTTCTAGCTCAGCTTCCATGCCTTTCTGTGGGTTCACTGTTCCTTTTCCTAACTCCCACTCTTCTCTCCTGCCAGTTTTTTATTTGCCATAAAGAAACATTTTTCTTAAAAATTATTCATCAATAACACAAAATAACATGGATAAACCAATCTTACTGCTTGCAATTTTTCAGATGCTAATTGGGTGGCTTCAGGGGTAAACAATTCCCTTAGTAGGAATCCTTGTTTCTTCAGTTCTTCAAGGTAATTTTCATAGTACTCACTTGCATCTTCAGAGGTTTGCTTTACAGAGAACTGCTTTCTAGGCTGTGAATAGAGTATGTGGCAAAGTGTTAGGATATGAGGATACAGTAACTTAGTATCAATCTTTATTGGACACGGACTATGTACCAGGAACATAAACTAAGCATTAGATCCCTGCTATTGTCAAGGGAGTCATGACACGTATAAACCTCCTCCTGGACTGGTGGCTATAGGACGCCTCTCAAACATGGCAAAAAGAAGCATGTCATGTTCAAGCTACTTCACTTAAGAAGGTAGAGGTTAAGTTATTTTCCATCAAAAGGGTTTACTAACGGAAAAGAGTGAGCTACAAGAGTCTCTTCTGGAACAGCTCCTTCTCTGCTGGTTAAGTGAGGATCATTTCTATCAAGGTGAACAGACTTGCCAAGTAGACTCAGGCTTTTGAAGGGAGGAAGGCACCCAGCAACAGCTCTCCGTATAGAGAGCAGGAAGGGCAGGCTGGCCTAGGCAGCAGCCTCACTTGCTTTCTCAATGAAGAAAAAAAAAGGTAACATATCTATCATGGTTTTCAAACTTGATTTTTACTTAGTTTTTACCCGCATAACTAAATCCTTCACCAAATATAGTCCACATTTTGGGGTAAAAGGTTAACGAAAACTTTTCCTCTTCTTGAACACATCTGACCTTGGATTAAAGTTTCTAGCTATTCCCATGGAAACCTGAAAAGGGTGGTGTGTAATATTAGGCAAAATTGCTTGGGTAATAGTAACCTGTCATTAATCAATTGCATTGGAACTGGGAGGTCAATGAATGAACCATAAACAGAAGGTGGGAAACCTGCACCTTGGGCTTCCCTGGGAGCAGGGACTCCGACAACAGGCACCTCCCTTAAGGGCATCTTGACCCCAGGCCCCTTATAAGAGGTCTGGACTCCTGTGGGTGGGCTTCTAAGTTCGGTGGACCTGCACCCACCTGATGTGAGCCTCCTTCCTTGCCTAGAACTGACCCTGGCATGGGAACAAAGTGAGTGTGTCCACAGCCTGAGTGAACTGCTCCTGGGACCACTCCCCTACTGAGCCGCACCTGTGCACCCTGCTGTTTCTTGTCTATAAGCAGAATGTCTAGATAGAAGATGGCTTGATGGTTTTGTAGCACTTTCTTTGAACTTTAGGTATTAGTTCTGATTTCATTTTTGTTTCATACTGTTTTGGGTTGGTCTCTGCAAAGCCTTCCTTGCCACTCAGAGCCCACAACAGTTCATAGACATTTCACCGTCACAGTGGATTAAAGTCATGAATGTGATGTTTCCTCCCAGGTGGTGATTTCTGAGGACAGGTATGAGTATTTTTTATCTTTGGGTTCCAGCCTCTAGCAGACTGCTTGGTACAAAGTAGGTGCATAATGAGGTGTGTGAATGAGTTGCTTTGAGAGGTATATACATTAGCGAAGTTTCTGTAAGTGACTCAGAACAGGAGCAAGAACCCCATACAGGGTCTTCCTCTGATGAGCCCCCTGTGCTGCTCTGGTCAAGGGGCACTGGGTTCACCTTGCTCTCCTCACCTGAAATATTAATACTGAAATATTAAGAGTGATTATATATCTGTAGTATGATTTCAGGTGATTTTTATTTTTACTTAGTACTTTCTGTATTTTCTACATTACATTTCCAAATGAGCATATATTACTTTTATAATCAACCTTTTTTTAAAAAAATCCTCATCTGAGGATACGTTTTATTGATTTTAGATAGAGGAAGAAAATGAGATAAAGAGAGAGAGAAACATCTATGGGTTGTCTACCATACACACCCCAACCGGGTATCTAGCCTGCAACTCAGGCATGTGCCTTGACCAGGAATCAAACCTGCAATCTTTTGGTGCACGAGGGGGTGGGGATGGGGGGATGGCAAAATGAAAAACCTATTTACAGGCAAAATGAAAAATATGAACAGGTTGGCTGGCTCACTGGCCAATGTTAAGGGAACTAGTTATGAACAAGGGTGGATAAACACATGGGAATTGATATAAAGATCATTACCTCAGTGCCACCATCTGGGAGGAAGTGTGCGACTATGAGGAAGCCTGGGTATCCGGGGTCCTGGGAGCACTGCAATTCCACCACTGCAATTTCTCGACCTCCCTCTGTCCCCATCTGGAAAAAGAGCTTGGTCTTTCATAAATTGCATTCATTAAACAACAAACTGCACACGCCGTTTTAAAAAGTTGATTAGCCCTGGCTGGCTGGTTCAGTTGGTTGGAGCATCCCTTCCCATCGCCCCATCCCCACCCCCTCGTGCACCAAAAGATTGCAGGTTTGATTCCTGGTCAAGGCACATGCCTGAGTTGCAGGCTAGATACCCGGTTGGGGTGTGTATGGTAGACAACCCATAGATGTTTCTCTCTCTCTTTATCTCATTTTCTTCCTCTATCTAAAATCAATAAAACGTATCCTCAGATGAGGATTTTTTTAAAAAAAGGTTGATTATAAAAGTAATATATGCTCATTTGGAAATGTAATGTAGAAAATACAGAAAGTACTAAGTAAAAATAAAAATCACCTGAAATCATACTACAGATATATAATCACTATTAATATTTCAGTATTTTTCCCTCTCATATTTTTACTATAGATATATCGGTATATGTTTAAATGGTACCACTTTTCAGATCTTCTTTATTACAGAGGGCATGTTATTTTCAAATTATGTTGTATTATAATACCTAAAAATACAAATGGAGCATCATTTTGAATGCCAAAGTTAATTTGCATTTGTGTGATGTTAAAAAAAAGTATTTTTTTAATTTACTTATATTTTTTAATCCTCATCCAAGGATATTTTTCCATTGATTTTGAGATACAGTGGAAGGGTGGGGGAGAAAGAGAGAAACATTGATGTGAGAGAGACACATCGGTTGCTTGCCTCCTGCATGCGCCTGAACCAGGCCGGGGTTTAAGCCTTCAACCGAGGTATGTGCCCTTGATCAGAATCAAACCCAGGACCCTTCAGTTCAAGGGCCGACCCTGTAGTCTATCCACTGAGCCAAACTGGCCAGGGTATGTTTTTCTTTTAAATGAAAAGTAATGGAAATTCAAGATGGTGTAAATACTGGTATCAAATCTACTCTTAAAATATAAGAAACTATTAAAAACAAGAAGGACTTTTATTTTATTTCTTTTAATTGATCTTAAAAAGAGGAAGGGAGAGAGGGAGAGAGAGAGAGGGAAAAAAAACATTGATGTAAGAGAGAAACATGATCGGTTGCCTCCTATACACACCCTGGGTATGTGCCCTGATCAGGAATTGAAGCTACCACCACTTGGTGTATAGGACGACACTCCAACTGAGCCACATCAGCCTGGGCAGGACCTTTATTTTTAATATCATATTAACATTTCGTACTGTTTACATTTTTATTATGAGCATGAGTTACTTAATCAGTAATTATGAGCAATTACTTTTACACTAAAAAATTAAACATTACATTTTTAAAATTAATTTTTAGAGAGAGTGGAAGGGAGAGAGAGTGAGAGAGAGTGAGAGCAAGTGTGAAACATCGATTTGTTGTTCCATCCGTTTATGCATTCACTGGTTGTTTCTTGCATGACTAGGAGGGATCAAACTCCCAAAGCTGGCATACAGAGATGACATTCTAACCCACTGAGATACTCAGCCAGGGCCATTACATTTTAAATGTAAAAATTTTCTTGATTATTAAAAAGCAACTCATATATTAAGAAATATTATTCAGGATATGCACAATTTTTCAAAACAAGAAAATTATCAAACAGAAAGAATAATCACATGACATTCAGACAGCTTTTTTCCCAAATAGAAATCAAACTCTTACTTTTTCCAAGATATTATATTTTGCAACTTCAAAATCTTGAGGAAAATGAGGAATTTCAACATTCTCCGTATAAAACCTGAAATGTGTATAAGTAAAATTTTAATATTAAAATCTACTTTTAGACTACATAGGATTTTCCTAGAATTTTTCTTGTACCTCTCCTAACTACATTCAAAATGCATTATAAGTCCCTAATGCCTCCTTACAAATTCTAAAAATGGTCAAAAGGTCTTGTGGAATCAAAAGGTCCTTTACGTAATTCTAGAGGTCTGATGCCAAATACTGTGTGCCTATATTGGATAGCGGGGAGTGGTATAAAGCATAGGTATAAAAGAAACAGGCCACCGTGTTGGAGAAAGCACATCCCCTCACAGACAGGCAGCCTGTGTTCACTCTGCAATGTTCCCTGAGACACCATATCACCGCAGAGAGGCACTCACCTCTCTGCACTACAGTCAAGCCCCCTTTATTTTATTAATCTGTACTTTTAATTTTGATACTTGTTCTCTCTTTTAGACCTACTATTAACAAGTAAAATAAGGCAAAATGTGATGCCTAATTGATACTGTAGTCTTGGGTACGCTTTAAGAAGCCATGTAGAGCTTCAGACTCGCATACTCCATTTTGGAAGGTTGTTATTATATTTTAAAAATATCAGGTAGAGATTAACAAAGTGCTTCTAAAGGCTATTCAGTAAGGTAACAGAGTGAGCAGACTGCCCAAATCTTATCTCCCGTGATTTTTCTTTTTACAAATCAATGTCACAATTACATCCAATCTCATATAATACTGAGAAGATAAAATAATTATCACTATACTAACTGAAGTAAAAAATATTAAATAAAAACTTAATAAAGAGTTAAATAAGCAACATAAATTAAAATACTACCAAAAATACTGATATACTAATAGCATTTTAATACCGTGCTTGAGGTTTATAAAAACTCTGTCTAGTCTTAATGACCAAAAGTAGATTACTTAGTAAGTTTCACGATGTTTTCTTTCTCTGTGGCATTGTCCAGGCTTGGCTTGTCTGTTTTCACTTCTAGAATTAAAACAAACAAAACACTTGTTAACTACTCAAAGACTTATTAAAATGAGCTAATAAGCCCACCAGCGTGGCTCAGTGGTTGAGTATCGACCTGTGAACCTGAAGGTCATAGTTCAATTCTTGGTCAAGGCACATGCCCCAGTTGCAGGCTCAATCCCCAGTGTGAGGCATACAGGAAGCAGCTGATCAATGATTCTCTCTCATCATTGATGTATCTCTCTCTCTCTCTCTTTCTTTGAAATCAATAAAAATATTTTTAAAACAATAAAGGAGATATGCTACTTTTGTTTTTTGTTGTTTTTTTTTAAAGGGGAGAATGATGATTTTTTTAAATTTTTTAAAAATATATTTTATTGATTTTTTACAGAGAGACGGGAGAGGGATAGAGAGTTAGAAACATCGATGAGAGAGAAACATTGATCAGCTGCCTCCTGCACACTTCCTTCTGGGGATGTGCCCGCAACCAAGGTACATGCCCTTGACCAGAATCAAACCTGGGACCCGTGAGTCCGCAGGCTGACGCTCTATCCACTGAGCCAAACCGGTTAGGGCAGAGATATGCTACTTTTGGAGAAATTATCTTTTAAAAAAATCTTCTTTAGCCAAATGCTGGTCATAAAATGTCCAGTCGTTAAGCTGTGATGATAACTTTTTAACACAAAGATTCCTCCTCCTCCCAGTTAAAATTACACATCAAGTTTTCTTAGACTATCTGTGTGTTTTTTAAATTTTTTATTTTATTAATTTCTATAGAAAGAGAGGAGAGGAAATGGTGGGAGGAAGCAAGGGAGAGAGAGAGATTTGTTGCTCCACTTAGTTATGCATTCATTAGTTGATTCTTGTATGCATCCTGACTGGAATCAAACCCACAACCTTGGCATATCAGGATGACACTCTAACCAACTGAGCTACCTGGCCAGGGTGAAACTACCCGTGTTTTTGTAGTCATTCTGATTCTGACAACACTAGACTGAATATTGACAAATCTACTTTGCTAAAGTAATCTTTGTCCTTTGCTATTTTGCTGCCCATTTTCTGAGATAACAACAAGCCTAATTTTTAGGTAGTATTTCTGGACCATACTTTGTCTGTAATATCTTTGACAAACCAAAATGTTTGATATGAAATACTTACCAGAACTGCTTGTCTCTTGATAAGGAGGTAGTGTGGTGTCCAGTGACTTGTTAGGATTGTAATTCTTTACGTCCAAGAGTCTCCCTTCTTTGATAGATTCCCATATAAAATCCAGGTTTGCAATCTGGATATGGTTCTTTTGGATAGACTTCAGTTGGTACTGACTGAGAACATCAGCATTGTCTAAGATTATATGTGTACACTAAGAAAAAATAATCAATTCATTATGCAGTAGTAGAAACAAAACAAATTATTTTGTATCTGTAATTTTCACCCTTGAAAAGTCTTGTTTGAAGGTAATTTGCAACAATTTCCCTCAGATTTCTAAAACTCTTATAAGTAATAAAATTTCTTGTTTACATTAAAATTTTTTTTACATCAACAATTTTTAAAGATTATGGATATGGATGTACCATAATTGATTAACCAATCCCAGAGTTTTTTCCAAATTTTCACTCCTCTAAAAAAATGCTGTGCTGAATATCTTCATGTACACTTCTTGTACAACTTTGTTTTTTCCTTAAGGGTGGAATAAGAGGTTTAAAGGGTATTCATAATTATTTTGTTAATTTGCAATTTTATTCACTTATTTTAAAATAAGTAGTATATGCACATTGTAGAATATCTAAAAAGTAAAATTATAATATTAATTTAATTTATTCCTCACCATTTCTCCAGGTTCCTGTCCAGAGGAACCTGAGCTAATCTATGTAGACAAAATGCATACAAGTACACAGCCCTCTTTGTAGCCACAGATGGCAGCATACTAAACATACTGCTTTTCCACCTGACAATTTATTTTGGAGATCATTCCTCGTCATTACATATTGTGCTATCTCCTTCATTATAATAGCTGGTATGCACATTTCAAATGTTTATAGACACTTGCAAAACAACTGCTGAAAAGGTTGCAGTCCTGTATGTGAGAAATTCTAAAAGTGAGAACCTGTGTTGGCATTCTCTAAACTGAAAGGATATAAAGGGCATGCATTAATTCATCATCCACAGAAATCCTAAGACAGGTCAGTGGCTAACCTGGAGGAAAAGAGGGCCATTCTGTATCTGACATTCATGGATAAACTACCAAATGCCAGAGAAGTACCCAGCATCCAGCTAGAGTTGCCTGTGCTTCACGGAACAAACCCAGCTCCTTCCACTGGCAAGCCCAGGGCTGTGGTCCAGGAAGCGGCAGTCCCATCAGCCCACCGAGAGGGAAGAGCCTGCACGGGGCAGGGCCTGTACTTGTAGACCTGGCACCTAACAACTTTGAATTTCAATGTTTAGTTCTTATGATGAGGTGGTTAAAACAGAGCAGGGTAACCTTAGTTATTTTCAAGATTTCATCTAGCTGTGAAATTCTGTATCTAAACTGTCAGTCCTACAGTTCATTTCAAGAGAAACGGTAGCTTCCTTCCACCTTTAAATAAGCAGTACAAAGATGGGGTTTTTTTCTGTCCTATAAGAACCACCCTTACAGGTGTCACTCCAGTGCTGACATACTGGTGAGTGACTAGAGTGCTTTTGGCAAATGCTGCACATTCTCCTTTGAAAACAGATTTGGCTGGTCTGATGTTACTTTTTTGGTGTCCTCGGCTGTACTCTAATGATACTAGATTCACATGGCATATAGGATTGTCCTACCGCTCACAGGAGTAGGAGAAGATGGAATGGGGTGGTCTTCCCTCCTCTGCCTCTCTCCAGCCGATTCCCTGTGGGAGCTGTCACTACCCCTGCCTCCACTGACTTCCCTGCTGCCAGTTTCTCTGCTTACTTTTCTCACCATGACCTGCACCCCCTCAGGCACAATGGTCTATCATAGAAGAATTCTTAGGATATTTTACCTGTGGATTTAATAAAAAGGAAACATTTCCACCATTTTCCTTAATGTCAGTTTGTAACTTTTTCTTCTGTTGACCAGGTAAGTGCTTTACTTTCAAACAGAAAGTACAATTTGCAAAGACTCCCACAGTCATCCTGTAGGAAAAAGAAGTTTCAAGTCATAACTTGTAAGGATTTTCTTTTCAGTGAATATAAATGATAGTGACTTTAGAATTGTTTTACATGCAAACTGTGGGAAAGTTGGGCATTATTTTTTTTAAAAAAGATATTGCAATCATATTATAATCACAAAAGTTGGATATTACTTCAGTTTGCAATATGTATATTGGTTTTAGAATAATTTCTAGCCTTTATGGCTGATATTATGACACCCAAAAATCCTTTGGTATAGATTCATAATATACATTTTTTTAAGGCATGTGATTTTTAAAAATATATATTTTTATTGATTTCAGAGAGGAAGGGAGAGGGAGAGAGAGAGAGAACATCAATGATGAGAATTATTGATCTGGCATGAACCCCCCCCTCCCCTTTACCCCCCCTTCCCGTCCCCATCACAGGATCAAGCCCTCAACCCGGGCATGTGACCTGACCGGGAATTGAACTACGACTTCCTGGTTCATAGGCCAATGCTCAACCACTGAGCCACACGGGCCAGGCATAATATACATTTTAAGGAAAACATGACAGATTTTAGTCACAGATCAAATATAGAAGCATTGCCCTGGCTGGGTAGCTCAGCTGGTTAGAGCATCTTCCTGGTCCACCTAGGTTACAGGTTTGATCCCAGGTCAAGGCACATACAAGAATCAACCAGAAAAAAACCAAGATGTCGGCATAGGTAAACACCAGAAATTGCTGCCTCGCACAGCAAACTCAAAAATACAACTAAAAGACAAAACGGATATCATCCAGAACCACAGGAAGGCTGGCTGAGTGGAAATTCTACAACTAGAAGGAAAGAGAAAAGCACACTGAGACTCAGAGGAGGTGCGGAAGCGCAGAGGTACGGAGGCGCACGCGGCAAGGGCTGGCAACTGAGGACGCGGCTGTCTTTTTGAATCGGGAGGGAGTCACAAGCTCCCGACTGCTCTGAACTCCAGTTCTGGGTGAGTCTCTGGGGACCTAGACTCATACGGGGAGAAATTGGACTGTCTGGCAGTGGGCAGAACTCAGAACTCGAGGGCGGCTTTCTCTCAAAGGTGCTTGCAGTGATTACCGGGACACTGAGACGTGGGGCCCCTTAGGGCAGGGCTGAGGATCAGCCATAGCTGCTTGCTCCACCCTGTTGATTCCCTGAGATCCCGCCCCATGCAAGCTGCAGCAGAGGCTTTTGCATATGAATGACCTGGCCCTTTGCAATCTGAAAATTACCTAACAAACGGCAGCTGGGCCAGACAGACCCAGAACTTCCAAGAGAAGGCCCAAGGCCCCACAGCAGCTTGCATTGCTTCAAAGCTGGGCCTCATTTGGGCACCTCCAAACCCCAAACAAGGAAGGGAATCTGCAGATCTCCTCGTAACTCCTGCTGGGTAGCCTCAGGCAGAGGCTAAATTAGCACCTCCTTAGATCCAAGAGCCAATGTACCCAGTGGTCAGAGTGGGACCATCCAATTACAACTCCTCAGATCCATAAGGGACAAACTCAGGGGGCAGACTCAGTGAACACCAAAGCTCCACTGAAGCAAGTCTTGCCTCATAAGGGTGTCTTCAGCACAGTTCTCCCACTGTAGACACAGCTGATTCTCACAGCCAATTGGCCTGGAGGTCAATTCCTCCCAGTGATACCTACAACAATCAAGGCTTAAATACAACAAGACTGTGCACACAGCCCACAAAGGGGTGCACCAAGAGTGTCCACCTCAGGTAATTGGGGAGGCTGAGCCACTGGGCCCTATAGGACACCTAGCACACAAAGCCACTCTACCAACACAGAGAAGCATAAAAAATGCAGAGACAAAGAAACAGGTCACAAATGACAGAAATGGAGGAAAGCAAATGACTGGATATAGAATTCAAAACTGCACTTTTAAGGTTTTTCAAGAACTTTCTAGAAACCGCCGATAAATTTAGTAAGACCCTCAAAAAGACTGGTGAGACCGCCAATAAATGTAGTAAGACCCTCAAGAAATCTAGTGAGACCCTCTAGGTTATGAAAAAGGACCAACTAGAAATTAAGCATACACTGACTGAAATAAAGGATATTATGCAGAGTTCCAACAGCAGACTAGAGGATCGCAAGAATCAAGTCAAAGATTTGAAATATGAAGAAGCAAAAAACACCCAACCGGAAAAGCAAAATGAAAAAAGAATCCAAAAATACGAAGATAACGTAAGGAGCCTCTGGGACAGCTTCAAGCGCACCAACATCCGAATTATAGGGGTGCCGGAAGAAGAGAGAGAGCAAGATATTGAAAACCTATTTGAAGAAATAATGACAGAAAACTTCCCCTACCTGGTGAAAGAAATAGACTTACAAGTCCAAGAAGCGCAGAGAACCCCAAACAAGAGGAATCCAAAGAGGACCACACCAAGACACATCATAATTAAAATGCCAAGAGCAAAAGACAAAGAGAGAATCTTAAAAGCAGCAAGAGAAAGACAGTCAGTTATCTACAAGGGAGTACCCATACGACTGTCAGCTGATTTCTCCACAGAAACTTTGCAGGCCAGAAGGGAGTGGCAAGAAATATTCAAAGTGATGAATGACAAGAACCTACAGCCAAGATTACTTTATCCAGCAAAGCTATCATTCAGAATTGAAGGTCAGATAAAGAGCTTCACAGATAAGAAAAAGCTAAAGGAGTTCATCACCACCAAACCAGTATTATATGAAATGCTGAAAGATATCCTTTAAGAAGAGGAAGAAGAAGAAAAAGATAAAGATATAAATTATGAACAACAAATATACATCTATCAACAAGTGAATCTAAAAATCAAGTGAATAAATAATCTGACGAACAGAATAAACTGGTGATTATAATAGAATCAGGGGCATAGAAAGGGAGTGGACTGACTATTCTTGGGGGGAAAGGAGTGTGGGGGGTGTGGGAAGAGACTGGACAAAAATCGTGCACCTTTGGTTGAGGTCTGTCCGGCCCCCGGTGACGGCAGAGGGGGGTGGTGGCAACCAGGTGGAGGGGAGCTATGGGGGGGAAAAAAGAGGAACAACTGTAATAATCTGAACAATAAAGATTTAATTTAAAAAAAATGTAAAAAAAAAAAAGAATCAACCAGTGAATGCATGAATAGGTGAAACAACAAATTGATGTCTCTGTCTCTCTCTCTTTCTCTCTCTCTCTCTCTCTCTCTCTCCCCCCCTTAAATCAATCAATAAATAAAGAATATATAGAAGTGCCCTGGCCAGTGTGGTTTGGCTCAGTGGCTGGAGCGTCAGCCCACGCATGGAAAGATTGAGGGTTCAGTTCCCAGTCAAGAGCACATACCTGGGTTGCAGGTTCAATCCCCGCCCCAGTTGGGGCTCCTGTGGGAGGCAACCAGTTGATGTATCTCTCTCACATTGATGTTTCTCTCTCTCCCTCCCTTCCTTCCTCCCTCCCTTCCACTCTTTCTAAAACAAAACAAAACAAAAATCAATAGAAAGAATACCTTCGGGTGAGGATTAATATCCTTGGTTGAGAATATATATATATATATATATATATATATGCATTAATTTCTAATTAAAATTTAACATCATGTGATAGTGAAACCATGGACTTTTATATTTAAGTCCTGGGAAACTTTCAGCCTCTCTCTCACAAATTCTGGCCACTTTATCCAGAAACTGTGAGTGCAGTTGGGAGCCTCCCTGGAACCCTTAGCTCTGATCCAGGACAGGCTGTAGCCTCCCCATGGCCCCCGGGGGCAGCTGTAGTCACACACATCCTCATAACCACTCTTAACACTTTTAGTTTCTCCAGTAGAATAGATCCCATGCGAGGGCTGGGCTTTGTTGATTTTTACCTAGACTCTAGGACACACAGTAGGCATTCAATAAACGCTTGCTTACTAAAAACTCCCGCATCCATTAAAACCAAGGATTACCGAATATCCTCTGACACTATTTGCATATTTGGACTCAAATGGCATCAACTCTGCACCTTCCTAATGGGACTATTGAACCCCTGAGAAGAGAGGCCCCCCACTCTGGTGCTGCTCCACGTCCAGAGGCCTGTCACAGCTCTGAGCACATAGACCCGAACTAACGGGTGCTCACTGAATACAAGATCAAGTCAGCCCACGGAAAGGATCTGCAACACGCACACATTCGGGTGAACGTCTCCTTTATTCTAGCGCCACATTTTACAGATCTTCATGTTTACTGTCATTTTGCAACCCAGAGCCTAAGGCTGAACTCTGGGCCGCGCCCTGCTTTTCTAGAGACTGAGAGTTAACACTCAGCCCCGGAAGGAATCATTAAACTCATTTCCAGGTTTCGACTTTGAACTTCAACTGACAGTAAATGTTCCTATCACGCACGGTTTTCCCAATTACTCACGGTGTTCCTTGATTATCCATCAAAATCCTGGACTTTTTGCAAAAGTTTGCTTTGTAACCCAGCTTTCAGAAGACAGACATGCCCTTCGGCACGTCGGAAACAAGAAACGCAGGGCCCCGGCGCGACCGGCTCCTTCCCGGAGACCCGGGCCTGAGCGCCCGGGCGGCCCCCGCGTCCAGTCCCCGCCGGCGGGCCCCGCGAGCGCACCGGGCTGACGCCCAGGACTCAGACTACCCCGCGGCGCCCACGCACCTGCCAGAGGACCCGGCCGCTCCCTGTACCTCCGGACTCTGGGCTTTCTGACTCCGGGCGATTCCGAGCTCGAGACTCCCTGGGCGTTGACGAGCGCGGACGGGCCGCGGAAGCCCCGCCCCCGCCGCGCCGGCGCGCCGGACCGGGACGTGGGCTCCCGGCCAGACCGGCGCAGGCGGGCTTTCCTTCCCGAACCAGCCCAGGGTTAGGATTTTTTGTTTCTTCTTTCTGGCGGGATTTAGCAAATGAATGGTGACTCCAAAGTTGGATTTTGGAGAAAGTGTGGATGGTGCTGCCATTTAACTGAGAAGTGAGGGTGATTCCCGGGAGCTTGGAACAAGCAAATTTTGGAAAGGTTTGGGATTGGGGAAACAGGAGGGTAAGATAATGAATTTAGTTTAAGACTTCCTGAGTTTGAAGTTCCTGGCAGTGTTCCTAAGTGGTTAGAACTACAAATCTGCTCTTCCAGAGAAGTGAGGGCTGGAGATTCATTGAGTAGCGGGTGAAGTGATGGGAAAGAATAAAATTTCCCAGATATGAAGAAAATGAGAAGAGAAAAGATGTAGAAAGGTTATGAATCTATACCCGACTACCGGCATACGTCAGTGATATTGCAGGTTGGGTTCTGGACCACCACAATAATGCCAGTATCACAGTGTTACGGGAAAGGGAACCTGGCCTTTGGTGGGTGCGCCTAGGGCCAGTGGTAGTGTGTGGGATCTTGATATTGTGCAGTAAAAATTTCACAGCACGAGTCTAGGTGATTACAAGGGGAACATTTATTAAAGCTGGGGACAGTAAAACAAGAAAGGGCTTAGCATAGAAGGAACAGAAGGGCCTAGGCTGGGCTGCCCTAGTTCTCTGGAAAGAGAGAGAAAAAGGGGCCTTGGGATCAGGTTCAGAGGTTAGTTAGGCAGAAGGGGCCGCTGCCCACTGCTTCCCTGGTTGCAAGCCTGGTGGGGTCCTTTAGGGTTTAGGTTAGGTACAGTGGTCGGCAAACTGCAGCTGGCGAGCCACATGCAGCTCTTTGGCCCCTTGAGTGTGGCTCTTCCACAAAATACCACGTGCGGACGCGCACGTACAGTGCGATTGAAACTTCGTGGCCCATGAGCAGAAGTCGGTATTTTGTGGAAGAGCCACACTCAAGGGGGCAAAGAGCCCCTTTGGGTTCCCCAAGGCCGCAAATTTGCCCGGCCCCTTGGGGTTAAGAAGAAGCCTTGCCTTGTGGGGGAAAGAAAAGGGAAAAAGGAAAGGGGGGCGGGAGGGGGGGGGGGGGGTTG